ACAACTTGAAAATTCCACGCTCGTAGAAAGTCTGATCCTTTTCGGCCAAAACCTGAGTTAAGTGAGATTTTACAGCGTCATCGTCGTTAAAAGTTTTACCACGAAGGAAGTTGTCCAGGGATCGAAATAAGTGGTAATCCGATGGCGCGAGATCAGGGCTATATGGTGGGTGTAACATCGATTCCCAACCAATATCCATCAATTTTTGCCGAATGGACAAAGACGCGTGCGGCCTAGCATTGTCCTGCTGGAAAATCACACCTTTGCGATTGACCAATTCTGGTCGCTTTTCCTTGACCGCTGCATTCAATTTGTCCAGTTGCTAACATTCACGGATAATAAAAAATAACATAATAATAATAATAATAATTTTATAATATAACATTTACGGATATCATAAAAATGGGAGTGAGAGACATCTATAACTGAAATCGGCCATTACTTAGTTGCCAACCCAATACCATCGCGCAATAAACAAATTACAGTCTATCTTCCTATTATACTGTTCGTTCGTTCTCCATTATGCCCAAAGTCTGTTTGTTAACCCATTTAATCGTAAACATTGAAATAACGCGATTTTTATTTATCAATTCTTTAATACCTGCGCACAACAGAGAGTACAATAGATTTTTGGATGGGTGCCTTTTGTGTAACAAAATGTAGAAACGTAAACAAATTAATTTGTAGTGGCGCGTAAATATAATAGTATATGTATAATATAAATCGTATAATATGTATATATCGTAAATATATTTTATATATATAAATAATAATAGTAAATAATATATAAATAATATATAAAAATATATTTATTTATGTATATATATAAACTATTATATTTACGATATAATTATATATATACATATACTATTTTTTTCTATGTATACGATTTATATTATAAATATGCTGTAAATCGTATAAATACATATCGTAAATATAATAGTATATACTAATAGTATACTATTACTATACTATTCTTTCTATTACTACTACTATTACTATACTATTAGTATATACTAATTATATTTACGATATGTATTATACTAAATATATATGTATATACTAAAATACATTTATATAAAATATATTTACGTACTTAACGTTATTACAAATTAATTTCTTTACGTTGTAGAATATGTTGATACCGTTTGGCCGATAAAACCTGGGACACCCTGTAGATACGAGACCCGAATGGAGACATTTACTTCGATGAGTTATCTTAATTCTAATCGTTTGCTTTTTATCAACAGGGATTCGTGATACCAGTTAATATTCGCGTGACCGACGCGAACGACAATGCTCCGCAATTTGTTAACGCGCCTTACGTACTTAATATCTCAGAGGTAACACAATTGTACTTGTCCGAAATGGTTCCGTGACAAATGCATACTTATTCTTTCGACAATTTCGTTTCACTTTCAGGTCACCGTGGTTGGCACAAGGGTTCTGCAAGGAGTACGAGCCGTGGATGCTGATCAACCGGGACCCTTTTCTACCGTACAATATGCTGTTTTACCGGGACCACATTCGGTAATTCATATTGTTCGTTGCAATTATATAAAAATCATATAAAATTTATTTTATGCAAAAGAAAAGAAGATATAAATATGCAAACATGAAAAATACGCAAACATGCGGGAAAAATATACAGAGTTAAAGAATATAAGAAGAAGAAGAATTCTGCTAAGATTGAAGCAAATGTTAAATTTAATTAATGATAATTAAATTAATTTCATTAAATCAATTTATCCCAAAGAATCTGTGAAATATGCACAGCAATAACATCGCACATGTTCTCAAATATAAATATCCAAGACACGTGGCATTATGCAGAATAAAATAACATTTCTTCAGAACGTTTTAATTACAAAAACAATTTCTGTCTCAGTCCCGTTGCTTGCCTCTTATTCCTTACAAAAACAGGAATTTGTATAAACATTGACTAATCATTACAAAAATGATCACCGATCAAACTGTTGCTCCCGATTGTAAATCATTTACGTCGAAACGTTTCTCCAGGACTACTTCGTGTTCGTGAACGCTTTGGAAGGAACTCTGGTTCTTAGGAAGCCACTAGATTACGAGAGTCTATCCAATTTCTCCGTCGACATCCGCGCACAGGTAAATAAAAAATACAATTACAGTTATTTGAAATTTCGTGCGGACTTTCGCCGTTTACAAGACAATTGGTTTCTGCCATCAGGATCAAGGGAATCCACCGAAATCATCCACCACAACGCTCCACGTGAACGTAATCGATGCCGATGACCAGAATCCTGCCTTTCAAAGTGATCAGTATAAAATCGTCATCCCACGACAGATAAAACTGGTACGACTATAAAATGTTGTTAGTATCGATATTAACCCTTAGCCCTCCGAACCATTCTGGACATTGGCTACCAGCTACTCAGCGCCACTTTTNCGCCGTTTACAAGACAATTGGTTTCTGCCATCAGGATCAAGGGAATCCACCGAAATCATCCACCACAACGCTCCACGTGAACGTAATCGATGCCGATGACCAGAATCCTGCCTTTCAAAGTGATCAGTATAAAATCGTCATCCCACGACAGATAAAACTGGTACGACTATAAAATGTTGTTAGTATCGATATTAACCCTTAGCCCTCCGAACCATTCTGGACATTGGCTACCAGCTACTCAGCGCCACTTTTTGGCAGAAACGGGCATTTACAGACCCTCGAATTATTTAGTATGGTTTTGGAACTAACTAACATATTATAATGATATTGGACTTATATGAAGTTGGCTGAAATCGAGAAAATTGCAAAAAAATCAATATCTTATTTTTTATAATTTTGTTATTGTTTGTTTTATAATTTTGTTTTGTTGTTGTAATCGCTATCTATGCGAACTCTTTCTCTCGTCGCCTTGTTGCTTGGACGATATCACTATCGCTGCTATCAAAACGATAGACTAACTGTAGAAGAAAACCTTCTACAGTTAGTCTTTCTAACATATCTGTATAAACGTCTATCTGGAGCTCATCTTCGCTACTACTTGTGTCATGAGACTCATTCGTGTTTGAACGTTTTGCCATAGTTCTAATAAAAAATATGAATAAATACATAGGTTGAAAATTTCTAATTGTTATTACTAACTCGCAAGATGATATTTACCAAACAAAACTTTTACCGAACAATTTATTTACCAAGAGAAGAATCACTTTT